AAGATAAATCTAGTTGTCCTAAGAAATCTACATAATGATGCCTGAAAGTCTGAACAATCATTATTGAAATTCTATTGTGTGTGCCAGTAACTTACTTTAAAAATTCAGGGAGAATAAGAATATATATATACATATGCATACCTGTATGTGCATATAAACATGTGCATGTATATACACATATATGCACACACACACACACATGAGGGATTGAGTACTGGGGAAAAAACTCTGGGTTTCACACACGTTAGGCAAGTGTTCAACCAATACATAATATCCCTTTGCTCTTTGATTTTTTTTTTTTTTTTTTTTTTTTTTTGATCCCACCTAGAAACGATTTTTTTAAATTGATTTAACTAACGAATTGGTAGAAATACTGAGTTGTGGCCAAGGCACAGGGAGTGCCTCTCCTGGATGCCTGGAGCAAAGTGTATGAGGAAGATGCAGGGGACTAAGATGTGGATGAGGCATCTGATTAGCAGCTAAACTGGAGTTTATTTTCCATCGTTTTTTCTCTTCTGCTTCGAGTTTCCAATGTGCATCATTACCTCACTGCAGTCTTCCTTTCACTGTCTGTAGATTTAAAGCTCCACAGTGCAACACTAAAGGTGTGCACTACCACGCCCAACTACTCTTTGTTTTTAAAGACAGGGTCTCAACACACACACACACACACACACACACACACACACACACACACAAAGAGACAGAGACATAGAGATTTCTTTTTTAAAGAGACAAGTTCTAACTATGTAATCTAGGTTGGTCTTAAATTCACAGTCGTCCTCAGTCTCCCAAGTGCTGGGCTCCAGGTATGTGCCACCACACCTGGAAAGAATACTTATTTTTAAGGTGTGTTATACCACCTCTGTCCATAAGAAAATACAGAACTAAGACTATAAATTTAGTAAAGAGAAACATCTTTCCTTTCCAGCTGTACTGTTCGTGTTCTATATTACTCTACTTAGGCTACTATTAATTACACTGACTTGGGAGTTACAGAAACCTGATTTAATCCTGACCTACTTGTTAACTGTGGTCTTCAGCAAGCTATTGGCTTTTTCTGAGTCTTTTATTGCAGGTGTCTCCAACTTGCTGCCCATGAGCTGTATGTGCCTCAGTCTGGATAGCTATGAGTACAACACAACACAAAATGGTAAACTTAAAACAATATGAGGTGTTTTGTTTGTTTGTTGTGTTGGTAACTCAAATTGCATGGTTCTCAAGTGTGAGATAAAAATGTGCTGGAAAGTCAAAAACTTGAACAAATCTGCAAGAGACCCACCTCATAGGCCTGCCTGAGATGCACTGAGGGAGCTAGACCACAATTTCTATTTAAAGAGCATCAGAGAAGTTATGCGACCTGCACCATGCAGGCCACAGCACTGTCAGAGCAGCCGTCAGACTTCCCACCCAGACTTCTGCCTCATTCTGTATCTAGCTTTCTTTTCTGTCCTCTTTTTTTGTGGAGTAACTTTCGATGTTAAATATAATTAAATTTCTAGCATGATGACCTTTTATTTATACTGTAGAAGTACAAGTTCTTGAATAAAGAGAAAAAAGGAACTGAAGAATAATAACTCTAACAAAAATAGCACTGGATGAAGACACTAAGCGGGCAGCTTACATGGGATGTGAATTTTATCTCAATGAAGCTGCTCAAAAATTAAAAGATAACAACAGCAGTGGGTGAGAAGTGAGTAACCTGGCATTTAGAAGCAGCACGACTAGAAGGAAATAAAGCTCAGTTGTTCTTTTGCTTATTGATAAAATAGGATTACTACTACCTGTACCATCTTTGTTAGGAATGAGGATAAAACTAGGTTCTAAATGGTGACATCTGTCATGATATGCATTCTGATGGTGCTTGGACAACTTGGGAATTGAGGAGCTTTATTTCTTCATTTCGAATGACCCATAAGCCTCCTACAATGTGTAGGAGCAGAAATTAGCCACCACCCTACCAGCAAACTCCTGCTCGTGACATCACCCTCCATACGCTGAAGTCACTTGAGTATAAACTGCAAGAATTTCTGGAATACACAGATTATAAAAACTTGCTTTCCTGCTGTAACACCAGAAGGATTCATTCTCCTAATCCAGGGCTTCCACAGCCATTAGTACAAAATGTTGGTAGAGACTTCTGCTTTGCCAGTCACAGGGCCAAAGAATCAAATAAACACAAATGTGGACAGAGTAATCCAAGCCTGACACAGAACCGTTCCTCACTGTGGTTACTCATGTTAAATAGCACATCAAGGACTAGGAGGTAGCTCGGTAGATAAAGTGCTTGCTGGGCAAGACTGAGGACCAGAATTCAACCTCCAGCATGCACATAAAAAGGCAGGCATGGAATTTCCTAGTGCTGGGGAGTGGGAGACAAGTGCTCCATGGGGCTTTCTAGCCCTCCAGTCTAGCCTAACTGGCAAGCCCTAGGTTCCAGTGAGAGACCCTATCTTGAAAGCAAGGCTTTCAGCACCTGAGAAAAGACATCCAAGGTTGACTTATGACCTTCACACACACACACATACATGTATACACAGCCCATCATGCCAAAGAAGGCCTCTTTTCATCTTCTTCCCCACTTTATAATGGAAAGGCACAGCAAATTCTGGTGTATCTTCTCTTTCAGTACAAATACCATTTCCGCTCACCAAAATCCTGATTTACTCGTTTCATACAAATAGGACATCAATACCAAGTACTTTTACAAACATAGACAAACACAATTTTGCCACTGTTTTTAAAAGACTAAGGTCATCTTGGACCTACTTCCTAAATAGTGGTAAACTAAAAATCAAGCCATTTAGCTCAGTCAGGTCCAATAGATCAGTGGAAAAAAAATAAATGGGAAAGCTTGCCAAAGTGTAACCATGGTAACACCACAGATGCATCAAGCAATGGTGTGTGCTCATTTGCTTCATCCCCATTTCTTAAATTGGAATCTAAGTAGGGGAAAAATTACATGGAGAACAATCATGAGTCTGCAATTACTGAATTCTGCAAAATCGTATTCACCCTGCTAGACTTCAGAGGTAGCCGTAGGACAGCAGAGAAATGGCCCCAGATGGTTCAAGGGCCAGAAAGACCAGGATCTGTTCTTAACTGCAGGTCAGTTAATCTCCTCATGACTCTGCTTCCCCATCTGCTTCCAAAGGGTTATTGTAACTAACCAGTGTGATGGGGACCATGCTGGACCACACAGCCCCAGTTCTGTCACTTGGAGCCTTATTCTTACTGTCTCACTCCAAAACCTGTTTCTAGATCAATAAAAAAAAATGAAAATGCCTACCCCACCCATATGATTAGGATCAGAATTACTATTAACCTGACATATATGGAATTGTTAGAAGGGTATTACTGAGATTATAGTTTTCCAGTTCAATATGGAAAGACTAAAATGAGAGAGGGCAACAGATTCACATTAGCAGAAGAGCCTTCTCTGTCAGATGCAATTGCGGCTGAGGAAAGAACGAACTGCAAGGTGCTGTCCCTAGTAACTTACAATATCCCTCTTCTTCTCAGAACTTCTGCCTATTAATAAGTAAAATGGAGGGCAGCCGATTATTCTAGAAGCTAAACTCTCAAGGCCTTAAATATATGGAATGCCTTTGATTAGTTCCATTTGTGATTTTACTGTAGTATCAGGAAACATCAATAGTTTACCACCTCACCGACAAAAGATTATAGCTTAAAGAAAACCATTTACAGCTAACACATCACAGCAATAGGCAGGATCTCTTGTACATTATTTTTCCTGGAAGTGTGGGGGGTTGTCTTAAAAATGGTATCTTTAAAAACTCTTTCAAACTTGAAAGGACTGAATGATAAAGTACAATTTCCAATACTAAAACCAGAAACATTCTTTCCTAGAATTTTGAATGGAATTAAACAAATGCCTTGGCTTCCCAAGAGGCATAGCTATGAGGGGCCTGTGAGGAAGCCAGTGTGGCTGGGTGTGGTAAAATTCCACTATCATGCAGTGGCTCATTTATTCACTCACAGACACACTGCCTGCTGGTCTTTAACACAAAGGCTTTACTCTCGGGTCTTGCATTGTTTCTTGCTTGCTCAAATTTGGTTGTATATAATGGTTTTTAGAATTCAGAGTTTTTTTTTTTTTTTTGGTCTTTTTGAGACAGGGTCTCCCTGTAGTCCCAGCTGTCCCGGAACTCACTATGTAGACCAGACTGGCCTTGAACTCACAGAGATCCGCCTGCCTCTGGCTCCCAAGTGCTGGGATTAAAGGCATGCGCCACCACTCCCGGCTAGAATTCAGAGTTTTTAGTCTGTGAAAATCTTTTTTTCACACAATCTTGATTTAGAAATTTGTAAATCTGGTCCCATGGAGAGAAAGATTGTGGAGGAAGTAGTCCCTCTACTGAGGGTCATTAAAGATACAGTGAAGGGCAGTGTGTGGTGGCCCATGCCTTTAATCCCAGCATTTAGGAGGCAGGGACAGGAGGAGCTCTGTGAGATCAAGGCCAGCCTGGTCTACATAGTGAGTTCCAGGATAGCTGGGGCTACAGGGAGACCCTGTCTCAAAAAGATTTAAAAAAAAAGACACCATAGCCTCCACACAAATAAGTCTTAGCTTCTGCCGACCAGCTCCATTAAAGACAACAATGCCCTTGTTTTTAGGGGCTTCCCCATGCCAATACTCTCCAAACTGCCTATCTGCTTCAGCCCATCTATACCTCCTAATAGTTCCAAGAGGCAAGTTCTTTCACAGATATGAACAGTGAGCCTCATAAAAGGTAGATAATTTGCCCAGCACTGAAAACAGGTAAGTAGCAGAGTCAACCAAAATCCAGTCACCAGCTACACTGTGACACTGTTTGTCCCATTGTCAATTATCATTGACTTAACCTGGGGCATCATTAAGTGGGCATGCTGCCAAGTATGGCAGAACTAGCTGTTGAGCTCTTCTTTCTCCTCTTCTTACACACACACACACACACACACACACACACTAGTGTGAGATGCTAGGGCTAGCTACTTACAAGGCACAGCATGGCGGTAGAGGTTATCCCTTATAGTCTGCTGGAGCTCGTGGTCCGGAGACCCTTTCTGGAAACGTTGGTTGAGGAAGTGTCGCAGGTCCTTGTTGAGTCTTCCTCCTGTAGGAAATACATAAAACAGAGAACATCAACATGAGAGGGCTTCCTGGACAGTCAGCAGTCCTAAAGCTGTGTGCGGAAAAGCCACATCCAGCCTATCTAGCCCACAGCCCCTCAGTCAGAAGGAAGAAGTGCTTCCGGTTTCCTTCTGCAGAAAGCAAGAATGCAATAAAGAGCAAACAGCAAGGAAGCAGCACCGAGGTGGGGGCCTTATCTCACATAGTGCTAGAAGGCTAAATAATGATGAATTTAATCTAGCCTATTACATCTACACAGGTGCCACAGACACAACACTATTAGAGGGAGAGTAAGTGGCTGAAACCACAAAGATGACAATCCAGCAATAACTGTCAAATTATAAGCACTTCTTCACCAGGGATCTAATTGGTAGGAATCTACCCTACGGTTATTCTTGTAAGCCTGCGCAAAACTGTTTACTACAGAGTTTTTTTTGTTTGTTTGTCTTTTTCTTTCTTTCTTTCTTTTCTTTCTTTCTTTCTTTTTCTTTCTTTCTGTAACAGAAACTAAATAAAAAGAAAAAGCAAGAAAAACCCTGAAAACAACAAAAAGAAACAGATTCAGTAAAGCTTGGTCTACCTGCATAGTAACTACTAAGTAAAAGCTACACCTCCAAGTGCTAATGATGAAGGACTGTAAAGAGGTTCTAATTCTTGTTTGCATTTTTAAACTTTATTTAACTGATACATAAAAACAAAACAACAACAACAACAAAAGAACCTGGATTGGTGGTACACAACTTCAGTTTCAGCACTCAACTGGGGAGGCAGAAGCAGGGAGAGCTCTATGAGATCAAGGCTAGCCTGGTCTACATAAAGACCAGGCCAGCTGTAGCTACAAGGAGACCCTGTCTCTGAAAAAATAAAGTGCATTTTAATTATATTAAAGAGTTTATCAAGTAATATTTAAACACAATGGTTAGTGTAAACACTGATCTCAAGTATCTATCATTTGTATATGGTGGAAACTTCCAAAAACCTCTCATCTAGCATTTTGAAGTGCAGAATACTCTTACGTCTCATCACCCTACTATGATAGCACACCAGAGTTTCTTGCTCCTGCTAAAAAGGACATTGTGTCCACTAAACAACCTCTCCCATCCCACCTCCCAGGCCCTGGTAAGCACCATTCTATAATCAATTAGTACAAAATCATCTTTATACATTCCACATGTGAGTGAGATCATGGGGGTACTGGTACCTGCCTTTCTTATATTCTTCATATATATATAAAAGGGGCTGAGAGCACAATTTAGCATGTGTGAGTTCAATCCCCAGCACTGAAACGTAGCAAAACACCAACAGAAAAGGAATGCAAAAAGCCAGGTGTGATGGTGCATGTCTTTAATCCCAGCACTCCAGAAGCAGAGGCAGGTGGTTCTCTGAGAGATCAAGGGCAGCCTGGTCTACACTGTGAGTTCCAGGTCAACTGGGGCTACAAGGAGACCCTGCCTCAAAAAGCAAAAACAAACCAAAACAACGCCATCTCCCAAACCAAAAAATACAAAATAAAAAAGGAGAGAACACATATTAATAGAAGCAATCATAAAAAAAAGTTTGGGCAGTCATTTCCTTTAGGGAAAAAGATTGAGCTGAGAAAACAAAGGAGATATATTCTTCATTTTATAGGTAAATAAATAACAATGTACATATTTCCATACCCTCCAGTGCCTTTCAACTGCCAGGCACATATTGCTTTTTTATTACTGTTGTTTGAGCCACAGTTAACTGTGTAGTCTGTGTCCTTATTCCTTTGAAATTCTGTATACTTAATAGAATAAAAGGAAAGCTTTTTAAAAAGTTACAAATATGTATCATAGAAAAGAGAACTGTTAAAAATCACAACCACAAATTATAGTCTACAGGACCAACAGAACTCTTACAGATCAACCTAGCTAGCACTCACCATGGAGAAAGATGCTACAGTGAGGGCTAAAAATAACAAGACTGCGAGTGTCCTTCCATTTTTAGACAAAATGAGAATTAGGCAAGAGCATTTTCAGCCTTAGCTAAACAATGAAGCAACTTGGTAACATGTGAGCCACAGAATTCCTACAACAGATGGCAATTTCTCCATACTCAAAAAAGGAGTAAATCACAACAAAGATGCAGAGGTTAAAATGGAGGTATTTCCTACAAGGGCAGGCAAGTATTTGACTTTATTTTAATATAACATTCAAAGTGAGATTGCTTGCCATGCCTCATTCTGACATAGACTTCTGAAATTGCACTTGAACTAGTTCATTTCAGACATATTATAGTCAATGTTCAAATGGCTAAAAACAAAAAGTATTAACAGTCAAGCTTAGACTATTCATTTATCAACTATTTATTGAATGAGGAAGATAAGCACCATTTTACCTGCCCCCACACCCCCAAAAGACACATTTCAATAGTTCAGAAAAGAATGAACAGAGTGTCTAACCCCCACACAAAGACACACAGACACAGATACACACACACACACACACACACACACACACACACACACACACATTCACATTAAGCCCTTGGAAAGATGTTGGCACATCACCATCTACTAGAGAAAAGCAAATTCAAATCACAATGAAATTCCATTACATATCTATCAGAATAGCAATTTTTCAAAAAATATTTTAAATATTATTTTTATTTTATGTGTATGAAGGTATTGCCTGCATGTATGTAAGTGTACCCATGTCGTGCAGGGTGTCAAATTCCTGGTACTGGAGTTACGGACAGTTGTTAGCTGCCATGTGGATGCTGGGATTTGAATGCATCCAAGAGCATTGAATGGTCAAGAGCTCTTAACTGCTGAGCCATCTCTCCAGTCCCAGAATAGTGGGCATATAAAGTGGTTCATCCTCATGGGGCTACAGTTTGGCATCATCTTCTCAAACCATTTTCTTAAGTCACATTTGGACAAGGCAAATAATCCAAAAATATCACTGGAAATGAAGAAAATGGAAAAAAAAGTCCGCAAAAAGAAAACATAGGTGATTCTTTCCAGCAGCCTTATTTACAACAGCTTCAAACCCAAATGTTCATTCACAAGCAAATGAAACAAAATGGGGTAGGTTCAGTGGTACACAGCAATTAGAAACTGACACACACACAGAGACACCGATAAATCTCAAGCAAATAACATTGAACAAAAGAAGTGAAACACACCAGGCGTGGTGGCACACACCTTTAATCCCAGCACTCAAGAGGCAGAGGCAGGCAGATCTCTGTGAGTTTAAGGCCAGCCTGGTCTACATAGTGAGTTCCAGGACATCTGGGGCTACAGGGAGACCCTGTCTCAAAAAGACCAAAAAAAAAAAAAAAAAGCAAAACACAAAAGGAAGCAAACTTTATTCAGGAAGCTTTAAAGAGTGTTAAACTAATTTGCAACAAAAGAAATATTCTCTCTGGAGGAGAGAGAGGCAAAGACTAAGAGCAAAACATCCTGACGGTAAAAAAACTTTGTATATATGCATGTGTCTATATGTAGATGTATGTCACAGTATACTGCAGTTTACAGAAGAAAGCTTCACAAAGCGTACTCAGAAACACTACACTACATCCTGTGAGTCAACAGCAACAACAATTTCCAAATAACTCTTTTAAATTTTATTTTTATTGAATTTTTGCAAATTTGATACAATATAGTTTGATGGTATTTAGATCCCCTCCCCTACTCGCACCTCCCCCACTGGCTCCACTCAATCTAATGCACTCATAGATTTATAAATAATACGGCCTAGAGACTCTGATTTGTGTCACCAAATAACTTTTTAAAAAAATGAAACTAGGGGCTGGAGAGATGGCTCACCAGTTAGGAGCAGTGGCCACTCTTTCAGAGGACCTAGGCCCAGTTCCCAGCACCCAATGGCAGCTAACAGATATCAAAAACTCCAGTTCCAGGGGGTCTGATGACCTCTTCTGACCTCCATGGGCACTGAACCACATAGGTGCACTTACATACATGTAGGCAATATACACATACACATAAAATAATGAAAATAATAAAATACTTTTAAAAATTGAGAAAATATGAACACTTTGTAGAAGATGCCAATTTAGAATTGCTTGACTGTAGTAGTATGACACAGGTCCTACATATGAAAACTTAACCACATACAGGAAACAAAGACATGCAAACATATATACACACACATGTATATGTATATACGATAGGTGAGTGACTGCCTGTGCTCTGCACTATACTAGATGCTTAGTTCTCAATTTCGTCAGGGAGTCCAATCAAAAGAAGACTAGAGAAAATCTTGGCAGTTAGGAAACACAGGTCTTGGTGTGGATCCCAACAGCATTATATACGAGCTTGTGAGCCCAAGCACAGGGCTTCATGTCTGAGCCTTTCTCCTCTCATTGATTAAAATAGAACAATGATGTAATCGCAGCTCCATCACATGGTTGTTGTGAGCATCAAAGGGGATGACACATTTGCACAGTGCATGGCAGAGTGAAAGCACTTAATGAAAGATGGACAATATAATTACTACAATGTCAAGTGGACAATTGCTGAGGTGAAGGGAAAAAAATTAAAAGCAGCCCAAATGGGAACTATTACTCTTTTTTAAAAGGAAAAAACAAAAACAAACTTCATAAACACAAGCTACCCAAATGGCTTAGAAAGAGCAAGAGACAAAAGACAGGATGAAGGAGATTTGAACTAAAGAATATTTCCAGTGCTAGAAAGGGGTAAAAGCCTACTTGTGCTAAAATAGCATGCACTTATGTAAACTGAAGCTGAGTTCAGGAAAGAAAGCTAACTGGTAATCACAGGTAGGTATCTGATAGACTCAGTAACTCTACCTCCAGGGATTCGGCACTCAAGAATCTGACTAAAAGGATAATGTTTCCCAATAATCTAGGATCTTTTGTGTCTTAGGATACAGCAATTCTTGACATGCAAAAGACTCTGACAGGACCAGCAAGATGGCTCAGTGAGTAAAGGTGCTTGCCACCAAGGCTGAATTCAATCAACCCAAGTTTAATTCC